GTGTTTGTGTGTGTGTGTCATAAGATACTTATAGATTGTCAGTTTTAAGTCTTCATTGCCTTCAATAGATACACGATGCATTGAGAGTGTATCTATGACCCATAACATTTACACCTATAATTCTTCAACCTCTTTTCATAAGTAACATCTCCCATTCTTATAGAAAAAAAACAATAGGACCCCCCCCCACACACACACCCAAAAGACACCCATTCCTACTATCCAAATGGTCCCTAAACGCCACTACTATGTACATATGGGCGTTAATCGGTTTAAGTAGTAAGATATTAAAAAAATACTTGTAAATAAATAGACAAATAATATTGTACCAAATATTAACAAGTGCCCATGTGAATTGCTTTGTCCGAGGGCTAAAATGTTGTTGGTTAAGATCACCCTGATTATAATGATATTATACTATAATTGCCCTTCCAAACTCTGGCCATTGCACGACAATACTAGAGATCTAGTTCAACCAAATATTGACAGTACCTTATTCTGATATATATCTAATTATTGAAAGAGAGACATAATATAGAGTGTCTGAATTAATCTTTTTAAAGCCCTTTTGGGTACATGTTTGAAGCAGCTAAAAGGGAAAAAACGAAACCCCCCCAAAAAAAAAAAGGTAAGAAAAGAAGAATATCACTGCGGACTTGTCAGTCTTGCGGATATATTCAAAGCTGTTACACCGGCAATGCTCTTCTGTTTAGAAGTTCGAAAAGAATAAAGAGGAAGTAGACAGGGGAGGTCACTACCATTGTAAAAGGTAAACATTGCAAAACATTGGCACATGCCAAAATACACCGACATAACTAACAGGTGTTGTTGCGCTGACGCCCTGAAATCATACTGCTGTCACTGACAAACTTTGAGGCCCAGTGTACTGATAGTTTGAATGCTCTGAATAGGGTAAGGTTCGGTTCACTGTTTTTAATTTATGTCCATTTTTCAATATTATTCATAAAGTATGCCATCATTATTCGGACTCGAGTCCAAATAACATTTTTTCATATTCGGACTCAAGTCTGAATAGCATTTTTTCATATTCGGACTCGAGTCCGAATATGAAAAAATGTTATTTGGACACTGTCTGGAAAAAAGGAAGTGTCTTCGTTCTATAGATCTAACGTTCAGTGCTTCCAGGTTTCCGCCATTTTTTAGTTTCCCCCACACTATATCTGCCGATCCGATGCCCGCCGCCTCATTGATACGCCCCCCCACCCCCCATGTTTCCCACTTTCTTTGTGGTAGAAAAAGGTAAAATTGAAGATTAGCAGATCACCTGGCACCTGCATATTAAGAGCTGTGTAAAAAAAAAGATTTGTTCAAATACACAAGCCTGTGTCATCTCGATTGTTTTACCAAGAAAAAGTTGTGTTGCTGTGTAGAGCCGAGCATAAGGCAACTTTTGATTCCATAGACCAGCGCACAATTCATTACGTAGATCTACGTCAAGACTAGCTTATTATTGTAATGATCAGTTGCCGGGGGGGGGGGGGGGGGGGTGGGGGACTGACGCGTATGCGACATTCAATGCCCGGACCGATAGTGCCCCCCCCCTCCCCGACACGCACACACAGCCGCACGTATGCAGGCCACCCATCCGACCCCGACACACGCTAACGAGCCATCTTTAATTGCTTCTGATGACCTCTTGACAAATAAACATTTATTAGAAGCGCTAACGTTTCAGGCCGGCCTCAAATTCATCATAAGATAAAAACTCGGCTCCTGCACAATTTAACGCCGAAGTGGCTAGCCGTACTTAGATCTAGGTTTGGCCCAATTGACTCAAGCCTGTTAAGTATGGAAGTGGTTATTCTCATCCGGGGTGAGAATAGAAAAACGATCTACCTCTCACCCTGGGTGAGACTTGCTAGCGTAGGCTATTCTCACCCGGTGCGAAACAAGACCTGCTTTTCCTCATTTTAGAATACTGTCTATCGGTGTGGATGATCAAACTGATAAAAGCCAAGAAAAAATTACATTATAGCACAAAAGTAAGCTAATTTGATCGCCTTCAAAGATGCTATGGCTATTTCACTGTTCGAATCGAGCCGAACTATGCTTATTGTTTGTTTTTAAAAATATTTTTCAGATGTGTCTTCAGTTGTAAAGGGGAACTTGGTACGTTTGAATCAGCAAACATGAATCGTTCAAAACAGGCAACATTAGAACAGCTTTGTCAACTTCAACAGAAACCATCACATATAAGGAATATATGTATACTGGCTCATGTGGATCATGGTGAGATAATGTCTTTGTTTATGGTATTGAGAACTTTTTCATATCATAGTTGCCTATACTTTTAATTAAACTTGTTCCTGTATTTGTTGATAATAAATCATGATTAGCACCTGAAGCTCAGAATTACAAAAAGTGTGAACTTTTTCAAATTATTTTCAATTTGTGCATACTGCTGCTTGCAGTATTTCCATTAATAGAAGTTTTTAGAATAGTTTTGGGGATATTGATGTCCTACTTTTACATGGAAAGCTGTATTTTCTTGAGGCATGTTTATTGTATGGGTAATAATACTATCCAAAGTTTGAGTGATTCTAACCTTTACTTTACTCTCACTTTGTTTCAGGAAAGACAACATTAGCAGATGCCTTGGTCGCCAGTAATGGCATTATATCTAAGCGAAATGCTGGCAAAGTAAGTAGTTCAGCTCAAGTTTTGTTTTTTCTTCTCTCAGCAATCTCTATGTTAATAAATGCATCCTGCGTCTTCTGAGTTTTCTATTCAATTTTGTCATGGCAATGATTATGTGTATGTGCTCGTCTCCTGCCAAAGAGAATGTGTCAGGAAGTTCTATTTTGAGTACAACATGTACTAAATAAATTTATGTTTTAAATTTATGTATCGTTATGGGGCAGCATTGGCTTATAATGTGGGAAAAAGAATTCTTAGAGAAGTTCAAATGTGAAGGCACACCTATTAAGCTCATAACTTTCGTTGCCTTTTCTAGAAGTTGTTTGCTACTTTCTTCAATGTATTTCAGATACGCTACATGGACAGCAGAGCAGATGAACAAGAAAGAGGCATCACTATGAAGTCAAGTGCAATAACTTTGCTTTATGAGAAAACACATCAAGGTAAAGTTCATCAGTTACTGATGTGAGGACTTACAAGGAGTAAGCTCTAGCTTTAAAAAATGACAATGAAAATGTGTGTGGTTAAACGTGCAAAAGGTGGAATTGTGTAGGAGGGGGGAAAAATTCTTCCTTTAGTGATTTCCACTTGAAGCAGGGTGACTGGTTTGAGTGCAGATAGGTAGGTCAGGGAAAGGTAGGAGATACTGAAGGGTGTGATGAGTATCAATGGTAGGCTGAGAAACTCTTGGTGAACACTTCATAAAGCAGATTTCTTGTGTGTATAGGGAGGGGGGGGGGGGAACAAGGATATTTGGATTTTCCTTGAGAGGTCTTTTCTTCCTTTGCCTTTGCCTTTCTTGTTTCTGTTTGTATGTGATATTCTTACAGTGTATGTGTTTTAGCTTACTTGATTCTACTCATGTTGCAGTTATGATTATTACATATGTATATATATGTAGTGTTTTACTAGTTGCTTGTGGGGTACTTTTAAAGGTTGATTTGGCAATGCTTGTGCTCATAAATGATTTTCAGTTAGATGTGCATGTTTACTTGTTCCTGTTTAACACTAATTAACTCGTTGTCATGTTTAGGGGTGTAAATGCAGTTGGAACTCTTGATTCTTGTTCCATGTTCAATGTTGTGTGTGTTTTGAGCTCCCTTGGATAACTATATACATTTAATAAGCTACACTTTTAGTTTCTTTCAGTGCATTACCCCTTCACAGTCAGTAACATTATAAAATTCTTCTGTTTTCTTGACATTTGCTACACAACAGATTTCCCACCAATATTCTGAAAGCTAAGTTTCGATCTGCTGGTTTGCTTTCGGTCACTTGTATTTCAGTCACTTGTTACTTTCAGGTGTGCATCCTCAGCAGTATCTGATCAACTTGATAGATTCTCCTGGGCATGTTGATTTCTCCAGTGAAGTTTCTACTGCTGTGCGTCTCTGTGATGGAGCAGTTGTTGTTGTGGATGTGGTGGAAGGGGTTTGCCCTCAGGTTTGTTTGGCTTTAGTATTTGCTCCTCTTTTTCTTACGGATTGATGAATACGATGTAGTTCATCAAATGTGCAAGACTTCTGGTTTTGTCTGGGAAATGTTCACTTTAGTGTTTTTATGAGTAACATTAAAAAAAAAAAAAGATTACATGCAAGACCTTAAAAATAACCTTACTTTGAGGATTGAAAAATTGCTTATCAAGAAATTTTTAACCTTTTAACCCGAACTTTGAACAAAATCAACGTGCTGTGAACTATTGTGAATGCAACCAATTTGTGCTTCATGTGCTCATATAACCTTATGTAGTTTTGAGTGTCGTAAAATTGTTTCTGCACTAAACTGAGAAATTGAAAAATGATAAGAAATATGATATAACCTTTACCGCAAGTGGGTTAAACATAGAAGAGCTTTAATTTTCTTGTTTGTCTTGCATTTTTAAAAGTAATCTGTCTTAATGCGTTAATTTCGAGTAAAGGTGTAAAGGAAGTATTTAAGATGCTGTTCTTTTTCTTTCTTTTTTTTTTTTGTGCTCATAATCTTGTAGAAAGGACAGAAAGAGTCAGTCCTCACAGCAGCAAGAATATATATATATTGTAAATTCTTTACGGATATGTTAGCTGTTGTAAGCCTCACTGCTGTTGTATATGCTGCATGTATTTATTTATACAATTTCTTTCTACTTTGATTCTTAGACCCAGGCAGTGCTGCGTCAGGCATGGTTGGAAAATATACGACCCATGCTAGTGTTAAACAAAATGGATCGTCTTATATCTGAGTTGAAATTCACCCCTCTTGAAGCATACTACCATCTTATTCAAGTCCTGGAGCAGGTAAGGGAGATAGTTTATAACATTTCAGCCATTTGTTAACAATTTCATTGCGGTTTGGGGGGGGGGGGTGGGGTGTGACTGATATTACAACATATGACATTATTTTACAACTGAAAGCCTGTTGACGCACAATGGTGGAATTTTGTTTCTGTTTCTGGGTTTTTTTTATGAGCACAGTGTGTGTTTGTATGCTCTCATTTTTCAATATTTTTTTATTTGGGTGTTTTAAAATTATGATTGTTGTCTTGTGTGTACTTGTTAAAGGGTTTTCTTCCTTGAACATTGCGTATACGTCGTATGTTTTATAAACTTTTCTTTTCTTATTTTCGTTTGCTTTAAGAAAAGCTTACAGTAATATATGTTATATCATCAAGATAATTTGTAATCTTTGTTGTATGGGTACTGTGGAATACTTTGTTGACTTATCTGTTTTCATGCCATTTATGTATAAAGATGACGCTGTTTTGAACATGGCCCCCCTCTCATTTGGCTCGGTTGTATTCTTAACCGGAGATCTTGTCGTCTTTCAAATCTCTCAAATGACTTTGCAATGTTGAAAAGTGCGATATAAACTCTTAACATACTGTACTGCTTTGGAGCTCTTGGAATGGCAGGTATAATATTAATATGAAATGTATAAAAAATGCAGGGAAATGTATTGATTGGGAAAAATCACAAGTAGTTGAAAATGATTGATGTTGATGAGTACTTAATTGTGAGTCTTTAAAAAAAAAATGTTTGGCCTCATTTATGTTACATGCACATGACATGTTGATTCTAAACAAAGTTTACTGTTTGTTTCATTCATCTATCTTGTGTCCTCATAACAGGTCAATTTGATCACCAACCAGTTGTTCATCTCTGAAGCTATGGACAGGACATCAAAGGTAAGATGTGATTTTGTTTATGTGAATTTTGTTTTGTTTCTAATCTTCTTGCTTCAGTTGTGTGTTGTCAGTGGTACATGTATTGAATAGTAGATCTGATGTTTATTTGTTTAAGTTATATTTTTTTATTTTTTGGATTTTTGTTGTATTTTTTTTTAAACTGTCAAAACAGATCATTTTTGTGGTGTGGAAATGCGATTATTGGACATAGTTTTCAAGCTTAAATATATATCAAAATGTATTTTCCTCAGGACAATGAAGAAGAAAATGAAGACAGTGCCGAAACTAATGATCCAAAGGTAAGTAGCATTGCATTGCCAGGTTTAAAAATACAGATAACTTTACACAAATAAAAGAATGCAACTAATGTTAGGAAAAAAAACATAGTTTGAAAATTTGAAACAGTTGTTTTCTTTTTCTTATTGAATTTGTATATTGTTGTGTTGGTTTCCATTTCATCAAAATATTAAGTCGAATTGAACTGATTTGTTTTGTGAAACTCTTTGAAGAATATCAATGTTTCTCAAAGAGTAATGAAATATGTATCGTTTTCCTTCTTGGTGTCTTGACAATGGATTGTCAAATGACCAATTCAAGTTATGATTAGGAGACTTTCCTGTAAATATGAACAATGATTTTTTCTTGTTCTTGATATGTCATCACATGTTTTTGTTTCTCGTCCATGAAAACAGTAGTTTGAAGACGCAAGAAGAGAAGCTAAACCTTACTTTTCGTGGATCTTTTTGAATTTGATAATCCCAGTACTTCATACTCTGAGAATTTCATAGAAAGTTTGTACCATGGGGAAAAGAGTGAAAATATTTGACGCCCTCCAAATATTTATTCTTTTTTTTTTCAGTCTTACGACTGGACGGTGATTGAGGATGAAGAAGAGAACAAAAACATCTACTTCTCCCCCGAGTTGGGAAATGTCGTCTTTGCAAGTGCTTATGATGGATGGGGCTTCTCGTAAGTAGACATTTGACAGTTTTGATAAGGAAGAAAACAGTTACCTGAGTAGTCTGACAGATTATGATCTTACTTTTATGTTATAAAAGTTTTGTTGTTATTGAGTGTTAATGAATTAGGATGGCTTTTGGCCACGTGAAATTGTCAGTGGTCTTTTAAATTTTGCGTCTCTTGTAAAGTTTTATTCATATCATTACTTTTTGTACTTGTTAAAAATAATTAAAAAATTTCTCTCGTATTTAACATACTTTTTAAAAAATGCTTGAGAGACAAGGTGTCCATACATTTGAATATGATTACAGATTCCTTGGTACTGTCTGTTGTTGTTTGCCTTGGATGTATGTATTGACTGTGGTGAATGAAATTAATGCAAGGAATATATTAGCAGCCTTTCTTTGTTCTTTGATTGAGCCAATAAAATGTGAAGACGAAGTCCTGAAGCAGCCAGTGTTGCTTTCTTCCGTAGAGTGAAAGACTTTGCCCGCATGTATGCAGCCAAGTTAGGTACGAAAGAGTCAGTTCTCCTGAAGACATTATGGGGAGACTATTTCATCAACATGAAGTCCAAACGCATAGTAAAAGGTGCCCAAGTAAGTACTTTTTGTTTATGTCCAAATTGTTTGTTGATGTCCTCCCTTCTAGATTTATTTGTTCTTAAGGGGAGACGTACACTCCCAGAAAAATTTTCTAGACGAATGACTTTTATTCACTTTCATGCAATTGTGCGAGAAGTTCATAGTTAAATAGGATGTACTAAGGGTGAACTTGTTGATTTGTTTCTGTGGTGGCCATCTTGGATTTAAAAACCAGTTTCTTAGTGCATAAGAATTTCATAGAAAGAATTGAAATTACAGCCTGAAATTTGGCCGACAGGTGCAAACCTATATGGACTGGGGATCTATGTAAGGATTTTGACATATCTTTAAAAATAGAATAGTGAGCCCAAAGTCAATGGACCCCCGAGAGTAAGTTGATGAAACTTTGGGGTATGTGTCACAAAAAATTTGAGTATTTCCACAAGTAACCTATATTTTCCAATTTCCTCTCACAGATCCCCAGAATAGGTCATAAAACACTTGTATGCCAAATTTGAAGCTTCTAGCTTCAGTAGTGTATGAAAACTGCGTGCTCCAAGGAGGTCACATATGTTAAAAAGCAGATTTTGAGAAAAACAGAAAAAACAGGCATTTTTTAACGGTTTTTCAGTTCAGTATGCAAATTTCAAACGCCCCTTTAAGTCATTTGGGGTGTTTTTTTCAATAGTTTCGTCTTTGTGACCCGATAGAACTGATGTCAGGATGTATTTCCGCAAAATACAATTATAATTTATTAGATATTTTGAAAAATTTGATCGATATTCTCTGGGATCGCCGACCCAGGTCTTCCCTTCACTTGTGTTCAAGAGAGCTGTACAGATATTGTCATTGTTTGTAATTTCAAACGACTTCAAGACTGCAAAGTGTTGCCTTTCAACTTTTGTTAATGAGTAGTACACGCTAGATCAGTACACATAAAGAAAAAAAAATCTTTGGATGTTTTCCTTTTCTTTGATAGCTTTATATGGGAAATTGTTTGACATTTTTTGTGTGTCTTCATCAACTCCCTCTCACCCTCTCCTACTGTTCGGCTCTGCGCTGTCTTCTTAAAACAATGAGAAAAGAGTTACATTTTGTGGTTTGGGATCCTTCAGTACAAGTCTTCCCAGAAAAGTAGGTGTACATCCATCTTCTGGACATTGTTCATGCTACACTTACATCCAGGGGAATGAGGAATATTTTCATTTTCACTTGGAATATGTTTGTATCTACAGTCCAAAGGGAAGAAGCCTCTGTTTGTGCAGTTTGCCTTGGAGAATATTTGGGCTGGCTACGATGCTGTTTTGGAACAGAAGTAAGTATTGCTGGTGACTATGAAAAAGTAAGAGTTCGAAAACATGTCATGTGAATATTATATTGATAATATGACTTACAAGAATATTTTTACTACCCTTTGTGTTGGATAATAGAGTATGTATTTAAAAAAGAAATTAAAGTTTTATGCACATAAGTTATTTTGAAGGAGTATGGTACTCTATTGTTGACCACCGCTTTCATAAGATAATTTTTTTGATAATGCAAACTTTATATTACCCAAATTATTGAATGTTAGGTTTTAATTATATGCCTGGATATTTAACTGATGCTGAACTTCCAATGATATGCATAGCGCATACTGAGTATACCGATTGCCTTTTACCGCTTTAGTGAATGCTTGCCCACATATAGATGCTGCTTGCATTACGCAGTGAAAATATGAAGCCTGTTCAATGACAGGCCTCTGGGCAGGGTACTTTTGATTTTTTTTTCTTTGTGGGCTCTTTAGTTTTGCTGTGAACATGTCCATACTCAGCATCTCCTTTAGTAAGTGTATTCCTTGTAGTTCAATGACATCATGGTGCCCCTTTAACTGAAATTGCCTCTGTCTGACCTTTTTAAAAAAACATTGTAATTCCTTTTCCTTAAATCTTTCTTAACGGGAGGAGCTACCCTTGAGGATCATTTTCTATGTTTGTTGCCCAAGATCAAATCTAAGTACACATATAAGTTAGACGTAGTAAAATCTCTTGATACGCAATTTTATTTTGGTATAGCTACAGCGGTTGCTATGGAAACGGCCGCCATTTTGAAAATGAACAATGAATTTCAAATCCCTAAGGCTTTCTTATTTACAGACCACATTTGACCACATTTGGTGAGAGTATACCTGAACCAGACCCTACCAGAGTAACAGCAAGTTTTTTTCAATAAGCGCAGAAGAAATAAAAATATGACGAATTTCCCAAAGTATAAACATTTTTTTTCTAAATTTAGGTTGCGTAATCGCTTGCCAATGGAAAAGTATTATTTTTTTCGCAAATATCTCTCTGTTACATTGATGGCAGCCTTACCATGTTTCCTGAATGTTTCATGTCAAAAGGATGAAAACTAAGGAAGGAGTAGGGAAAAAACCGCACAAAAATTACATTTTGCGAAAATCGACAATAATTGAGAAAATTCACTATATTAATCCATCCTCATGTTTTTAAAGGCAATTTACCTGGAGAATAAAGTCTTTCTCAATTGTATCCATGCTATTTTTAGACAAAAATTGGTTGATCTTCAAAAATTAGCCAACATAAAATGTGAATAGCCTGACCCAAAATCTGCAAAATCAAGGGTCGCTCCTCCCCTTAAAGAGTATCTTATCTCAAATATATCTTTTGGTCTGTTGCTCAAGTTGTGATAATGATTCCTTAACTCTTTGCTCTCTGCCTCACTTGACACTTACTGTAAAATAAGTGTTCTTCTGTTCCCCAGGGACAGTGCAATGACAGAAAAGATTGTCAAATCTCTAGGGCTGACCATCACGACCAGAGACACGAGACACAAAGATCCTCGGATACTTCTACAGGCCATCATGAGCCAGTGGCTTCCCTTGTCAGATGCAGTGCTGGGTAAATGTTGAACTTGTGTGTTCAGGCTTTCTCCAGGCAAAGCTTGAAAAGGGGTTAATTTAAAGTCTTTGGGTATTTCCTTCATTTTTTTTTTTTTAGTTTTTGTATTTTGAGCCGTCTCTTGGCCCAGCTGATTTCTATAAAGAAATACTGAAAATTTTTCTGAGTGTTGTACAGTCTGGGACTGGGGATAATAGTTATAAAGCGTTTAGAGCATGGATCTGTGCTATATAAATGCAGTTATGGCTATTATTATTATTATTATTATTATTATTATTATTATTATTATTATTATTATGATCATGATGTTGTACTAGTTGTCTGATTTAGCAGTTTGTGCAATTCTGTCTCAAAGAGTGGGCCATGGGGATATAAATAGTTTGTTTTCTTGCCGACATGTGGCAAATATTCTGTGGTAGGGGTGGCACCTTTTCTCTGCTCATATTGTATCTGCTGTTCAGCTCTTTTTCATACGGTCATACGGATCTATTGACCAAGTCTTGCCAAAAATAAACCCACAAAAGCCCACAGGTGGGGCCTGCTGTTTAGAATGATCTGAATCAAGTAGAGTGTCGTTCTCATTCAAAACCAGCCCAATTATCAGTCTCCCTTTGTTGACATATATGCCAGGCCTTGGGATTGCTTAAAGCATCGATTGATATACCATGTAGTATTTGTTCTGTTCTTGCAAAGTTTTTTTTTCTAATTTTACATGGTAGCTTTCTGTCTGTGTTCCCAATTATTATATATTTTGTTTAAATGGCAGTACCATAAGAAGGCTGACTGAGATCTGGTTATGTGTAAAGAAATTGTTTTGTTTAGTTCTCCTGTGTTTCTTTTATATTTTTGTGTTTTGGTTTGGGGGGGGGGGGGTGTGAGTATGAATATGAGACCTATCAGCTTTGCTGCTGAAAAAATCTATCCTTAAGGGAGGTACAAATGAAACTGTTAACCACAGTCTTAGATAACTTTTTAAATTTGCTCCTATGATGTATAGTCATTGCATTCTTTCTGATTACTCTGGCTTCAATGTTTTTGTATGTTTTTTTCCCCTAGACACTGTTGTGACATGCACCCCGTCACCTTTGAAAGTGTCAGAGGAGAGAGTGGAAGCCCTCATGTGTAGCCAGAGCCGACAGTTCTCCTCACTGCCAGAGCCTACACAAAGTTTAAAGTCAGGTACAGTTGGCCATCAGATTGTTGCTCATTTAAGTAGTGTCTGCCTGCTGAATGGAGAGGAATCACAGAAATTGATGTACACAAAAGTCGGAAAAGACAGAAAATTCAGAAAAGACATGGAATAACATCAAGGCTAGCCCAAGATAGATAAAGGTAGAAAGTGTTTGTTCGTGGCCTATACAGGGTGCAGAGTGAGAAAGGCAATGATGATGATGATGATGATGATGCCTGCCTGAAGTTGTTCATTAATGAAGAAAAACATTGAATATTTTAAATTTGGTAGAATAAAATATTTTTTGACAGATTTGTGTTTGTATGTGTAAAGGCTTTGGTCAAACATCGTTTTCATGCTAAAATTGAATAACTACAAAAATTTTTATTTTGCTTTTTTTTTTCCGAAACATTTTCTACAAAGCATATTATGCTGGTTAAAAATTTATATTCAGGTAAACATCCAAAAGTGGACTTTTTTAACTGTATGAAAATTGATAACTCGAGGTTATTTTTTTTTTAATTTGTTTTTTTTTTTACTTCTCCTGAAAAATTCACATGATGTCACTTATCTGATTTTATCATGACAGCGCCGATATGATTTTCTGTTTCATTTTGTCGGCAAGATTTGAGTTGTAGTGTAGTCCCTGTAGTAATATTTAAGCAGTTGATTATGGCTGCATGAGTTCATGTTTTGTTTGTCTGACATTAATTACTTTACTGCCGGGTCTGCTGTATACTTTTTAAAAATAGACCAAGGCCAGCTTGGGCAGAGAATTGAAAATGATAAAACTGAAATCAAGGGGTAAAGAGAAAGAATATCCTTCCTCTTTAAAATTTGTTACAACTAGTAGTCGTCACAAGTGCATGTTTTGAGAAGTATATGCTTTGAAAAGTCATCTTTCATCTCAGTAATGTCTTTTGTGCAAGATATTTTTGTTGCTTGTTGTAAGATCTTTGAGCTGGTTTTTTTCCCCCCCAGATTTTCTTGCGTGCAGCTCTTGTCCTGAGGCGCCTGTCATTCTCTATGTTTCTAAGATGTTCCCAATGGAAAGAAAATGTTTGCCTCAGCACAGGGCAAGGTAATTTCATTGTTTTTGGTTCCTCTTTTTTTATAAAAACAAAACACTATCTGCATCAGAAAGGGCAATATCATTTGGTTGCTTTTAAGCACAAGGGCGCTACAGTAGTCTCCGCCTAAGATCCCGCCGCTTAAGATCCCGTTGTTTTAGGAAAACAGAATTTTTACTATACAAAAGTCACCCCTAAGATCCCGCTCTGATGGTCTACATTCGGCTAAGATCCCGCATTTCAGATCATAATTTGCTAAACAAAAACCCGGGCGGGCACAGCCGATCAACCTAGAGTGAAAAGTTGAAATCAATAAACTGTCCGTCGCGTCAAAGATCAACCACTATCGTGAATGTGATCACATACACGTTGTAAAACTCGATGAAGCGATGCAATGTTTGCCCCAGACGGGATCATACCGAGGTGTGAACTGACCGACGCGTTTGTTTTCCCCACGCATCGCACTCACACCTGAGCTCGCCACCTAAACTTGCATCACTCGCTGGGTGGGTAGGGCCTACACCTATACGTTCTTACTGATCGTCTAGGCCTACACGTTCGCTCCAGGCAGGATCACATCGAACCGTGAACTCTTCCTTGACCATTGCAGCAGTTGTCTCTACTCCCGAATTTTCGAGACAGACTGAATTTTAATTGGTGGGTTCACAACGTAATGGTGTGTAACGACAAAGGCGGTTTGGAAGGGGAGGGGGGGGGGGACTCGGTCAGAGATGGAAAGCTATAAATTTTTGACAGGTAAAGAGGAGGGGCAACTGGATAAGCGTAGATCTTGAGACTCATGATAGGATAATAAGTGAAAATGGCACGCCACATCCCACTATGCACCGTGATAGGTCATCAAGGTTAACCACTCTTTGCTCGTCATACGTCATAAACCCACCAAGCGGTCACGTCAGTTCATTGTAGAGTGGAGGGAGACCATTTTACCGATTGTGAGCCTTAACATGGGTCACCATAGATTCTTCCCTGGGTTCATCGGTTAAGATCCCGGTTCGCCTAAGATCCCGCATTTCCTTGCTCCCAAGCACCGGGATCTTAGGCGGAGACTACTGTATCCCGAAAAATGCTGTTTTGAGAAAATTAAAGGTAAAGTTTTTGCCCCTTGTTCAGTTCCTTTAAAAGACATGGAGAGTTTTTCTATAACCAAACAAATATACACTCCAATGAAACCAAACTTCTCTATAGGTGGGGCAATACCCACTTTTGGTGTAGGTCAAGATTTCTGGGAACCCCCGAACTCTGGGTTAGCCCGCTTGTCCTTAAAAGCGACCATTTATCATCTATAATCACCGATTGTGTTGTTACACTGTTGTCCAGGTTTGTTATTCTGTAGCTATGATGCTTTATTTGCAGCCCCTTCTTGACCCATGCTGGCTGAACTTGCCAGCACCTTGTTCTTGTCAAAAGGTCTTTGATTTAACCATTATTTTTTCATCCATACCTTTCATGTATTTTCTGTTGTTTTCTACTTGGTCAAAATCATCTGAAAATGAGCAGATCATAAAAAGTTTTATGTTTTGAGTTGTAATATAGTTCTTTACTTTTGTATTGCTGCGAAGAATAATTTGCTTTGAATCTTTAAGATACTGATGTACTTGTTAGTTTGTAGCATTTAAAATATTATCAACTTTCTTTTCCCTTGAGCTGCAGTTGTTGTATTGATGTGGTCATGTTGTTTATTTGTTGTAATTGTCCTATGTAGGCCTCTGACAGAAGAAGAGCTGCGGCTTCGTAGAGAGGAGGCACGACGGAGACATGCTGAGATGAAAGCCAAAATGGAAGAAAATGCGTCAGAGAGCAATCAAAACACAAATGGAGAGGTTGAAGCACATGGTCATTCCTATCTTAAAGGTATTTTATGTGATGATAGATAAAGCAGTTGGACCCACCTAAAGAGCTTTAGATTATAATGAGAGAAAACGTTGAATATGATGTTTTGTAGAGATGGGGTGTGGGGGGGGGGGGGGAGGGGAGAAGAATAGTGGCCTAGCGGATTGGCCAAAATGTCTTCTTTTTTCATTTACACTCACCTCGGCTCTTTAAATAAGTTATTTTTTGAATGTCCTCAGACTGTGATACCCATACATTTTTATGCTGTTGAAGTGCTTGAGAATTAAAACATTACCAGTGTGATTGAGATTCCTTTGTTTAATTTTAGTTTCTTCTTTCAAGTTTACTCACTTCCAAGTTTAATTTTCCTGGGGTGGCCACTGTCTGTTTACAAATAGTGTAATTTATACTTTGCATATATGTAAAGGAAAAAGTGTGACTAATTGATGTGACTAATACACTTCTTGCCTGACAGAAAGCAACAGTCAAAAGACAGAGGAAGATCCAGAGGAAAATGTCTTCATCGCTTTTGCAAGAGTCTTCAGTGGCACTGTTCGCAAAGGTCAAACAATGTTTTTCTTGGGCCCAAAGCATGATCCGGGAAAGGCATTAGCTGACGTAAGTTGTCATGGCTGAAGGTTGTCTTTATAATTAGCAAGAAAAACTTTACATATGGAGATAATTTTTTGTTGATTTGGAACAGTGCTTGTTAATTTTTTTTATTAGTCATGTCCACTTTTGCTACCTTTAAGAGGGTAAAATTTTCGTACTGCCCACCTACATGTATTTCTAAGTGAGGCATTAAGTAAGACCTGTCAATACCTGGGTGATATTGCCCACCAAAATGACATAAGTGCCCACTGGTGGGCAGTGTCATCTAGATGAGCAAGCATTAATTTGGAACAATCATTATTTTTAAGATGTTTCACTTAACAATACAGCAAATATGCATACATTTTTGTTTTTCTTGGGATACTGAGGAACAGTACTGTACTTGAAATCTCTATTCTGTTTATCTTTCAGTTTAATGACAAGTCTATGGCTGAGCTCTTGAGCCAACCAGATGTCTTGTCGCAGACTCACATCACAGCTGTTGAGATTAAAGACATCTACCTGCTCATGGGCAGAGAACTGGAAACAGTTGATGAGGTACTTGTAATTTTCCCTGTCATTGATCCGGTATTGAACTGTTTTTGCTCTGCTATTATCTCTCTAAACAAAATGTGTTCTAGAGAGTGTCCAACATGCTTGATACGAAACTGCCATTGTGAAATATATTCATATCATTAATTCTTTATTTTCAACGTCATTGAACATTTTAGAGGGTTTCTGTGTTCATATAACTGAACATTTTTCTCAGTCTTGTTTCATACTTGCATTGATGTTTATCATTTTTATTCTCAAATAAATGATCTATTAAATACCTTTGAACACCCTGTGGACTGCTTCCACTAATAAATCTATTTTGTGGTATTATTGTTATTCAAGTTTCTGGAAAGTCTAAGAATTTTCTATTATGTTGCCATAATTCTATCTTTTCAATCTATTGATACATACTGGCTGAGGCTGCCAGCAATTTATTTTCATCAAAGCGTCTTTAAAAAAAACCACTCATCCTCCTCCTTCAACTTATGCTGTAGGTTCCAGCAGGAAATGTTTTGGGCATTGGAGGTTTGGAAGAAAGCATCTTGAAGTCTGGAACTCTGGCTACAACTCTGGCATGCCCAGCGTTCACTGACATGTACTTTGACGCCTCTCCTATAGTGAGGGTAGCAGTGGAGTCTGCACATGCATGTAAGTTTCTTGCACACTTGTCAGGTTTTTTTTTAGGTCTGGCGATGATCAAAATTGATTGTTTTTCCCTTTCAATCTTAGCTTTTGAGGATGCAAGAAAATGCATAGGTATTTTCTGTTTTGTTGTGTAGTTTATTCTAATTCTTCTAAACTGTGGCTGCTTGAAAGACTTTTGTTTTAAAAGAAAACAAAAAAAAGATACCCCAAAAAGTTCAAGTTTTTGTACTACTGCATTGTTTATACATTTTTTAATGGGGAAAGGAACCTGCATTTTTAAAATGGTCCTCTATCGTAGCTTGACTCTGTGTATTGATAGTGTTACAGCAATGTCTGACAAGATATCTGGATTTTTTTGCCCCAAATTATGAACTGATCTTTTAACCATACTGCATTACTTTCCTTCCAGTGGGTTGGAGGGCTGTGAATAGACTCTGCACGTTTGCATGTGTGCAGTGCCTCTAACACTGGGATAACACACATGAACATTTACGATTCTACGTACATGTCAAAGTTAAAATTTATTTTAATTGGTGTGTATCCCCTTGATGACTGACTTGACTTCACAGAAGTTCCCTTAGCCAAACTGCTTAAAAAATTACTATGTTTACCATTATAGTAATCTGTGGAACTTATTGTGTTATCGTTTGTTTGGGACATATTGAAGCCATGCATGACATTGGCTTCTGAATGATCTTTTTTTCTTTCTTTTTTTCTTTCTTTTCTCTTCCTTTGTGTTCTGCTGTTGAATTCGTATACTTTTGTTTAGGAAAGTAAAAGTATTAGAGTTTTTTAAAAAAGCCAACCATTACTTTTTTTTTGTTGGGCTAGGTGATATGAGCAAACTCATTCAAGGGCTTCGCCTGCTGAACCAGGCAGACCCATGCGTGGAGGTGAGGGTCCAGGAAACCGGTGAACACGTGATTATTGCTGCTGGAGAAGTTCATCTACAGAGATGTATTGATGACTTGAGGGAAAGGTGAGTTGCAAGGGATGGAAGTCTGTCTAGGTAATTTGTACATAAAGCTAGGACAAGGTACGGAGATACACACTGATGTCAACAATTGTGTTATGATGTTGTGGAATCAGGCGCTCGTCAATTTTGGGCATATGGGGTTATTGGTATCATCTTAAAGCCCGTTCCTTTACTTTCTGTTTGGTGACAAAGATATCCTTTTATGTTGAATAGAAGTTGAAATATTTGCGATTGAAGGAGGTCAGGGTCGCCTGGTTTCAGAGGTAAAATCAGTGAGAACGTGGCTGTCAAAATTTGGTAACGTCCATAGCCTGAGAGTCCTTGGAAACTGAAAATTTACATTTTTGTGTGGCTTTAATCAATGTTTTTCTGTAAAATCCACACAAAAATGTGTTTTTAAATGGACATAAAAGGTGATGAGCCAAAAAAAAAATTAAAAGAAAATTACCCATCAGCCCAAAAAAATGCAGATTTCTTTGATTTCATTATTTTGACGAGAGCTTGATTTCACCATGATGCCTCACAATTATTGAAAGAACACTGGATAACAGCCTTGAAAATCTATGTGGAAGGGGCTATTGTTCTGCTGGCTCGTGAAATATGGACGAACATTTTCCATTTTTTTCTTTCTTTTTTTTTTGTTTGCTCAACATCTTTTGCATCCACTTAAAACTAATTTCTGCGTGAATTTTACTGAAAAACATTAATCTAAGGCACAAAAAAAAGTACATTTAAATTTGCTCTTTCCAAAGACTCAAGCTTTGGAGGTCACCAAACTTTGGCGGCCATTTTCTTGCAAATTTTTCCACTGACACAAGGTGACCACCACCTCCTTTTAAAGCTAATGTTTCTCCTTCTGTTCAAGATGCATTGGTACCTTTTCTCCAAATGCAAGACAATTGAACAAGCTTTAAGATGATATATAGATTTCCATGCGCCCAAAAGTTGGCGAGCGCCTGATTTCACAGCGTTGTGACACAGATAATATTTGTGGAATCAAAACTGAGTAGTCTGGGACACTTTTGTGACTTTTTAAGGAAAACTTTACCACTAGACCATCTTTTCCCAATGGAGCAAAATTGATCGTGTGGTCCAGGTTTAGAAAGATTTTTTTGGGGGTTAATGTAAGGATGGATTTGTTGTTGTTTTTGGTCTAACGCTTTATTAAGAACAAAGGCAGTGTGTCCTCAGTTGACTTCTTGGCACACAGGCTTCAGAGGGTCCTGCGCACAGGTAGAATGTGTAATCTAAGTGGTTTCCAATCTAAAGTTCCATATGTTAGCCTGTCTGTTTGTTAATGCAGGTATGCCAAAGTGGAGGTGAATGTGTCAAAGCCCATTGTGCCATTCCGAGAGACTCTCACTGTGCCTCCAAAGATGGACATGGTCAATGAAACAATTCTGGAACAAGGACAAGCTGACAAAGAAGAAGATGAGGATGATACAATTCAGGTATTTTATTACTCCTCGTCTCACTGGTGTTGAAAGCATGTTTCAGTGAAACTGAAAATGCCTCCCAGTCATCTTGCTTTTTTTTTCAATTAAAAAAAATTTATGTTCTGTTTGCCCCCTTTTATTTTTGCCTTTTTCCATATATAGATACCTTTACTCAAGATTCAAAACCTTATGTGTCCTTTTACACTTTTCAAGCAGTTTTGCAAGACTCTTACACTTGAGTACCTTGCTCCTGACAGCAGTAAAGTGCATTTTCACTGTTTGAAGTTGCACATATATGTGGTAGTGTATTCTCTGTCTGCATTCTGGCTTTATGTACTTCTGCCTCACTTCTTAGGAAAATTTAAAATTCTTGTTTTCTTAAGTTAAATGTTCCCCTGAAGACATGAAGTCTGCAAGACCTGAACAATGCCTTCAACAGCCGTTTTACTGATTGTTAAAAGTGCTCAAACTGTGGTAACAGTTTTTTTTTAAAGCACTAACTCTGTGGTGAGGAGAGGGACTAAACTTGTTTAATGTTCTTCAGGCTTCAACTGCCGATCGTCAGTGCCATCTGTTGCTGAGAGCTGCTCCCCTGCCAGGTACCGTGGCAGACATTCTCCTACAGCATCAAGAGACCTTGAAAGCCCTAGACTCTATGACTACTGCCAACATCACTGGAAGGTCTGAGCTACAGGTAGGGATTAATCTTTGTAGATTTTACTTTCGATCAACTGCGTATCTTCGAATCTTCCGTGGAGGGGATTAAAAATTATAAAACAATGTTGATAGTATCCAGAATACTATACCTTCAGGGTGATGGGACACACTTTTAGGCCATCAATGTATGGTTTTTAATGGAAAAAAAAATAGGAACCAGTGCCTCTGAGCTACTAAGCTATTTTTTTTTCTCTATTGGTCAAGTTGAACCAGATGGTAAAATGGAAGACGCAGATATGTGACTCTTCCTAGATGGAATAAAACAGTGGCATCACCGTTGATATTTTCATCCAATTTTTCCTCTATGACGGGAGAATGTCTTGTTAGTATTAAGTCAAGCAATATTTTGCTCTAGCTGGGTTTTTTTCGCTTAATGGTACCCAGCTGGGGTTATGATGGGAGAGCAACAGGAAATGTTGTTGAGTGCATTGACTCTGTGCTGTATGCAGGGACCAGATGCTTACTTTTTTAAAACTTTAAATGTTAGGCCAGGAGGTTGATTTGAGTGAAACAGATGTTCTGTATAATCGAGTTGTGGGGTGTCTCTTAAAAGAGTGAGCACTGATTTAGTACTTTTTCTGTATGTTAGTGCTGGTAAGTGTTCTGAAATGGGGCAATGATGTGTGTTATTCTGTGTCTTTAACTTTACAATAGTCAATTTGATTGAGATAAAGCAGAAGAGTAGATTTCTTACCACTTTCTAATGTGTTCTTTTGTTTTTAGAGGGGGAAAAAAAATGATTTCTGTACATCAAAGCTCATGACTCTCATGTAGGCTCTTTGGAAAAGACTATCTGCATTTCTTTTTTTCTATCCAGATGGGCTTTTGTATGAACAAGGCAGCTGTGGAGACATTGCAAACTGTGAAACAACACCTGAAGGAGGAGTTTGAGAAGGCTGGAGGGGAATGGGTCGGTGCTGAGGACAAGATCTGGAGCTTCGGCCCTCGTCGCTGTGGTCCCAATATTCTGTTGAACTGTGTCAAAGGGTACAACAGGCCGTCAGTGTGGCTGTCGTTAGAGGGCGGAGGTGCTGTGGGTAAAGTGGCAGACTTTGACAACAGTGTCATCAGTGGCTTTCAGATTGCCACTTTAGCTGGCCCTCTGTGCGAGGAACCTATGCACGGTGTCTGCTTCATGGTGGAGGACTGGTGGTATGGAAGTCAGGCGAAAGCCTCTGTGTCACAACAGGGTTCTTCAAGCCACAGGTCATCTCCTTGTATTGAGGAAGCGTCTAATGGGAAAGACATAGCAAGTCTCACGAGTGATGAGTGCAATCTCCTTAGTTCAGATCTCAAGTCTAAAGTGGAAATCTGTGACAGCAGCTCTGGGAAGGTTGAGAATGGCGAGGATGGAGAGCTTCCGCTTACTGGGGAAAATGGCCATGCAGTCCAGGAGACTCATGTCTTTCAGGGCAGCGATACAATCCAGCGACAGAGCAACGTGTTTGGCCCTCTGTCTGGTCAGCTCATCTCCACCGTGAAGGAAGGCTGCCGACGAGCGTTCCAGGCACAGCCTCAGCGACTGATGGCCGCCATGTACAAGTGTGAGGTACAGGCCACTATGGAAGTGCTAGGTGAGGACTGAGGGAATGTTCTGTTGTCAAAGACTGAGCTAGAAGATGGACTACATGTATTTTTTTATGAGGCTTTGCAGCCTGATCATCTGAATTGTTATATGTGGGTTGTGGGTGTTTACACTGACGTTGTTGTCCAACAAACTTAGAATTTGTTTGATGTATTTTGTATTAGTTGTTGGGGGTTTTCACTGCTATACAGGTATTACCTGGGTGTTGGTCTTGCCTTTTGAAAGTAAACGCTTGCCTGGTAGGTATCATTAATATAGATCTTGGGTGGGAAGGGAGGGGGGGGGAGGGGGAGCCTTCTAAGGGTTTTATTTCCTCTTTTCCTTTGTTTTTGATAGTTCAAGGCCTGCCTGATAAGTGTCATTTAGAGGTCTTATTTCTTTCAAAATGTACCATTTCTTCTGTGGGGCTTTTTTCTTTCTCTCTAAGGTTTGTGACAGTCTGTTTAAAAATTATTTTCCTCGCTTGAATGGACCAATATATCTTGTACAAAATCCATTTTTCGATTTTTACATAAATTACTTCGACAGCACTGAATTCCAGTTGTGAAAATGAGAGTTAGTGCCAAATGAAACTGAACAGCCTTAACAGTTAAGACAAAAGCTCCCATAATTTGGAAATTGGAGTTTCATGTTGTACAAGAGAGCGCTAGGATCGCATTTTGCAATGATCTTTGAGTTATTAGTCTTCTTCTTTTTAGCCAGGTAAAGAGAAAACCCCTGTAGTTTTGTATTACATTGAACACAAGACGGAGATTTGATTAACTGGTATTCGATTTCAGTTCTCATTAATCTTATTCTGAACGAGACATTAGGGAGGAATTTCTTTTTGAATCTTCAACACTTCCATTCCCTTGTCTGTGATTGGTCCATTGCTATTGGCGGGATCTCAAACAGCATATACTGTAATTGAAATGTAAGTCATTCGATGCACGTAATTGTGTAGGGTCTTTTAAAAAAAAATGCTTTAAGTTAGTAGTAGGCCTACTACTCTTATTATGAGCTTAGAAATTTTGGTTTATTGGAAAATTGTGTATAGGTGGCTCAGAACATCTTTTTTTCTTTGTCACTGTCCCATTGTTACCTTATTTTCTTTCTTCTTTCTTGAGAATTCTGGTACTTCATTTGTTGTTGTTGATATTTATATATTTTGGTTCTTTCTTCTTGCACAGGCAAGCTTCATGGGGTGCTGTCCAAGCGCTATGGTCAGGTACTCTCGGAGGAGATGCAAGAAGGGACAGACATTTTTAACGTGACCGCAGCTCTTCCTGTGGTGGAAAGTTTTGGGTTTTCTGAAGACATACGCAAGAAGACAAGTGGGCTGGCCAGTCCACAACTCAAGTTTTCTCACTGGGAGGTAAGGGCGTGGTAGCTTTGTTTGCATGATCTGTTTTGAATTTTTTTCTGTCTTTTTATTCTTTGCCTTTTACAATGAAAGCTTGAGTTGCTTGCGCTAGACTGTCTCCCTTAGGGAATGGTTTTTGTCATGTCTTAGTCTTAGTCACTGAGAGCTTGCACAGTGAGTCTCATCTCCTCTTCTTGGCCAAGTCTGGTGTCAGGTTTTGTCCATGTCTCAACACAGAAGGTTTATTGGTATCAGCTAGGATGTAGCTTGATTTGTAGGGACCTTAATCTTGGTTTATACACCAGAAAGTGCACCGTCTGTAAACCATAGAGCTATTTTTACATTGCTGCATGTTTTTTTTATTGGATTGTTTGTATTTCTTTTTCATACTCAATGAGAAAGGAGCAAGTTTTTTTTTAGAGCTGGGAACGGCTATTGTCTCTCTGAAAAGCTGATCGGGTAACATAGTTCTTTTATCTACCCCTAGATGTTGACTGTTGACCCATTCTGGGTGCCGACTACGGAGGAGGAGTACACACACTTTGGAGAAAAAGCTGACGCGGAAAACAAAGCCAGGCTCTACATGAATAAAGTTCGCAAACGTAAAGGCTTGAGGACAGACGAGAAAATTGTTGAATTTGCAGAAAAGCAAAGAACTCTAACAAAGATGAAGTAAAAAAAAAAAAAGGATCTCAGCTGAATTCTGCCAATTTTATGAAACACTGAAGGAGCACAATAAAAAAAATTATCTTGTTATTGCTTTAACTTATGAAATGCTGACAGAAGTAGAAGACAAGCAGTATTCATTATGAAAAAAAGGTACTGATTGGCCCATCGTTCTTTTAATGAGGAGACGAGAAATTATATTAAATGGGAACTAGCTTTCTTTAGGATAATGGTTTCGGTTGTGAAATTCATACTTAGTGTATGTGTAATTGGTAATATGTGTCAGATTTTGGGTGGACCTGCCCTCTCTTTTATGCTCCAGGACAATATGAGAGAGTTGTTTGTTGAAAAAAATGTTTGAATATGTGAGTTTTCAGTGTTGGTTCTCTGTTAACACACCATGCTGAGATTAAGAACGTTTCTCATTGGACAAGAAAAATTCAACCCCTGTTAGATTGAAACCCACTCTGTCGGCCTAAATGCCTGTCAGCTGCCTCAAGACCTGGTATTATATCGTGAAATGATTAAAGACTACGATGCTTGGAAGAAAACTCTGTTGTGTTTTGTTAGACACATTTCAGGTCTATGTTTCGGTTTCTGCCTGGCTGTTTTCTTTTCACAAGGATTCAGGATGTTTGTGTCATATTATGGAAATTAGGACACATTTAGTTTTATGAATGACTGGCTTTTTAAAAAACTCTTGTGGTATGGGGAATATCTTTTCTTTTCTTTAATACGTCCACATGGCAGCCATTGTTACTACTGAAAGCACAGATTGCTTTGTTATTGTCTTGGTAATGAGATTTGATCAAGCAAGTATATTGTCTTTGGACAAATAATTAGTGTAATTCCATTGTTTAATTTTAATGACTATCCAAGATAGTGTGTTATTTTGGGTGATTGTTGGCTTGCAAGACAAGTGTGATGTACATAGTGATAAAAGGAACAAGAATTTATAATGTTTTGCTTCTACGAATCATGAAGGGCAAGTCTGATTTTAAAGTGCGATTGTGCAACCACTTGAAGTAGCCTGGTGATGTGTAATCTTTATTTACAAAGATTGATTTTTTTGTGAGTCATTGACAATAAAACAGTCGAAGAATACCCTCTGAGCGCATATTTCTATGTTTGAGACGTACATGTGTGTAGTTTTAAGATGAAAACTCATAATCATATAGCCACAGATGTCATGAGTTTTATTTCTAGGGCTTGAACCCCCGGGGAGACAGTGGAGTACTGATAGTAGGGACAAGTGTTTATTTGAGAGGTCAAGTATAGCAGCACTAGCAGCCCAGGTCACATCGTCAGAGCGCATATGATAGGACATGTCATATCATTTTTCTCTCATCAGGATGAGGAAATTACAATTTTTGTGACGGTCCAGAAATGTTTGTCTGTGCGAAGTCTTTTTTCCCCCCCCCTAATTGTGCAGCGTAGCAGTCTTCCAGATGTACCTTCAGTCATTTCTAAGATGAAGCTTACATTCCTCACAAGGTCTCCAGGTTGAGCTTATTATAATAATATATTGTCTCCTCACCGCACGATTTATAATTTGTGTTGGTTCTGTTGGAGATAGACAGTCGATGTCTGTGGTTCAATGTGGCATTGATAGTCTAGTGCAGTGGTTTTCAAACTTTTTTCACCCACCGCCCCCTTTTTTTCACCCAGCCGAATCCCATCGCCCCCTCCTCCGCCCCAACCATCAATCTGACATAACAACATGCATAATATAATAACAATCACAAATAAAGAGAGAGCTCAAACAGCAGGGTAGAAAGAAAGTAACGTGCCTAAATTCTAATGATTTAGTTCTGAATATTAGTTGGGTCACAAATCACCATCTTTACAGTCTTAAATTAAGCGTGGACGAGAGATAATAAAACACATTTTTCTTCAATCTTATGCAAGGGCATTGAGAACAAAATACTGTCATTTTATGTATATAGTTGTCATCGATACTAAACGACCAGTGTTATTAACATAAATAAAAGTAAAACATGTATTATCACATTTACAGAAGCAAAACGCCAAAAATAAATAAATAAATAAAAACGCCCGTGATCATTGGTTTAAAAAGAGATTGACATTATCTTTATGAAACGTTTTCTCCCATCAACGTGCTGCAATTATTAAGTGGCCTGAGATTTGTATCAAATATTTCCATTGTAGAAAATAAAAATATTATGTTGTTCAAATGTGAGAAATCACACGAAAGAAAAAGTATGCATGGATTTTAGTCTGTAATTATCACCATCGTAATCAATGTCATCATCATCATCATCATCATCATCATCAGTTTCATCAGCAGTGGCAGAACGTGCACATATAAAACTCTGTTAAACAAGTGAATGTTTTGCTTTTAAAAAAAGGAAGAAAAGAAAAAAAAAAGAAAAGACACATTGAGATATCAAGTAAGGGTAAACTACGGAATAAGCATGCGCAAATAAGTTATTGACTCTACCCTAATGGGAAGGATGGACCTGCTAAGACGGAACCAACTTATCAACATCAGGTTTCAGATTGGTCAGTAGCTGACGCAAATCGCTACGCTTCGTCAGCAACCTTGTCACTGCACCGAATCCCCTTTCTACTAGATAGGAGGTGGGAAAAGAGATGAATAACAACTTGATCTTTTCCCACTTGGAGGGATATTTGTCTTGCACAACAGTTTTCAACCAGCATGACTGGTACGGCTTTTTGAACAATGGTTTAATTTCAAAGTCACATTTCATCGTCAAAAGTTCTTTTTCAATTGCTACTTGCAAGTTATCATCTGTTTCAGTGTCCAATGGGTCCAGTATCCAGTATGGAATTTCCAGTTTAAAAATATCAGGAGGCTAAACTTTTTCTTCATATCAGCATGCAAATCTCTGAGGTGGTTGCTATATATATTTGTAGCTTCTCGTCAGAAACGCGCCCTTCTTTCAGTGTCTTCGTCAAGCTAGGAAACTGAGAAATTTATTCTGCCAATGTTTCGGCGGATCATTTCCAATTTCAACAAGAATGACGAAAGCCTTGATTAGGTTGGTGTCATCCCCCTGCAGCTGAAAGCTGAACTGGTTGAACTTTGTGAAAAGGTCTGTGAGGAGCGCAATGTTGTTCTTGTGTTCCTTCAGTTTATTGCAGAGATCACTGTCTGTTTCTTGAAAAAAAAACAACTCCAGCACAGAGTCAAACAGGCAAAATAATAATCGTGTTCAACAAGTTCCTTTCGAGAGTGTTCCTTCCTTCAGTGTGCAAAAGTAAACATTGAAAGTACTCGTCATTTTCAGTGCGCAGCTGTTGAAATAGTCTCGAGTTCAAAGCATGGACTTTGATGTTGTTCACACACTTGATGGCAATGGCCAGTGTGTCATGCAGACTTTCATTCATTTTTTTTGCCCCCAAATTCTGTCTGTGAATGACACAGTAAACACTAAATACTCCATGGACTAATTTCTTCAAGAAGTTCATAAATCCACGTTTCCGACCTGCCATCGACGATGCCCCATCTGTTGCACAGGCGACTATATAAACTATATTGGTCAGAGGGATCTGTATCTCCTCGAAAAATTCTTGGACCACTTTGAAAATGGACTCGCCTTTCTGTTTCCAACATTTTTTCCTCACCCTCTATGAACTGATATCCAGTTAAAGGCTGAGCAGGGGGCTCTCGTG